CAGTGGCTGAGACTGCTGCTGCAGCGCAGGCCCGTTCTGGGAAGGGCCGCCGCCCCAAGGCTGGGCGCGGCGGAGGGGGCGGCGGGGGTGCGGGCGGGGGTAGTGGTGGGGTCGGGTCGCCTGGTGCTGGAGCGGACGAGGGGACCCTGCCCAGTCCAGCTGAGTCGCCGCCCCTGCAGTTGCAGCAGCCGCCGCAGTCGCAGCCTTCGCAGCAGCCGCAGCAGCCGTTGCAGACGCGGCAGACAAGTGTTCTCCCGCCAGGGTGGCCCGGCGCTGGCGGTGGACGGGCGCGTGGTGGTGTGCCGCGTGGTGGCTCTGCCGGCGGGCGTTGTCAGTACCAGATCCCGACCGGTCCTCGCCGCGGCTTCGTTTGCGGTAAGATCGGTCACTCCACTCCCCGCTGTTTTCGTCGCCTGGACGACCTCTTTCGTCAGCGCTTCGGCCCGTCGCCAGACCTCCCGGACTGGCACAGTTTGCTTAGTCGACAGATTCAGATCTTTGATATGGACATGGATGCCATTGTTTCTGCTCTGCATGTGATGTATGCTGATGACTCTAGTGTGCTTCCGGCTTATTACTCACTGTTGCCTAGTGTAGGTGTGCCTAGTGTACCCTCCCCTGCTGCGTCAGACGTAGGATCCCCTGCTTTGTGTAGTCTTGGTGCTTCTGCCGTCGTTCCGTCGCCAGCCCCCTTGGCTTCGCTTTCCTTCACCTTGGACTCTGGCGCCTCTCGGTGTTTCTTCCGCGACTCCACCACCCTGACGCCGCTTCCTGTTCCTGCTGCCGTTTCTCTTGCTGACCCCTCCGGCGGTCCGGTAGTCGCCCGCAGTTCCACCACCCTTCCCTGTCCGGCGGTTCCGTCGGGCTCTCTTACAGGTCTGCATATCCCCTCGTTCTCCAGGAACCTAGTTGGTGCCGGCTGCCTCCAGGACCTTGGCGTCACCACTACGTTCCCTGGTCACGAGCGGTATGCTGTCTGTACTGAGGCCGCCACTGGTGCCCCCCTGTCCACGTTCCCCCGGGACCCGGTATCCGACCTGTTCACTCTGGACACCGTGCCCCCCCCGGCTGGAGCGCCCCCTCAGGTGGCTGTGTCTACCCAGGTTGCTGCTGCCTGCTCCTGTCGCTCCCTCACTCACCCGACCCTCCTGTGGCACCACCGCCTAGGTCACCCTGCGCTCCTGCGTCTACGTCACATGTCCCAGCACGGTCTTGTCCTTGGTCTCCCAGGTTCACTCCCCGCGTTTCCCTCCTCCCCAGCTCCACCTTGCACGCCTTGTGTCGAGGGTCGGCTTCGCCGTGCCCCTCACTCCTCCTCGTTCCCCCCTACCGCCGCGCCGCTGCAGACCCTGCACCTGGACGTCTGGGGCCCCGCCCCCGTCCCTGGGCCGCGTCGCGAGCGCTACTTCCTTGTGCTTGTCGACGACTTCACTCGTTACACCACAGTCTTTCCCCTGGAGCGCAAGGCCGACGTGCCTGGCGCCCTCATCCCCTGGCTTGTCTCTGCGCGTGTCCACCGCGGTCTCCCTGTCTTGCGTCTTCACTCAGACCGTGGTGGCGAGTTTGCCTCTGGTGTCCTTGGTCGCTTTTGTCGTGCGGAGGGCATCACCCAGACGTTCACCCTACCGGACTCCCCACAGCAGAATGGGGTCGCTGAGCGACGCATCGGTTTGGTCATGGAGGTCGCTCGCACCTCCATGGTCCATGCCGGTGCACCCCATTTTCTGTGGCCGTTCGCTGTGCGCTACGCTTCTCACCAGCTTAACCTGTGGCCGCACCCTCAGCAGCCGCAGGTTTCGCCGACCCGTCTGTGGACTGGGTCTCCTGGTGACGCGTCTGCGTTCCACGTCTGGGGCTGCCTTGCTCACGTCCGTGCCTCCGGCACGGACAAGCTCACTGCCCGCACCCTTCCCTGCGTCTTCCTCGGTTTTCCCCTTGACGCGTCCGACTGGCACTTTTACCACCCGCCGTCTCACCGCTTCTTTCACTCTCGTGACGTCACCTTTGACGAGTCCGTCTCCTACTACCGCCGCTTCCCCCACCGTGGTCCCCCGGTTACCCCCCCCCTGTTCCTGGTCACCCCTTCCCCGGTAGTCCCTGCCCCTCCTCCTCCTCCTCCCCGTCCCGCCCCCTCTGGTGTCTCCCACGTCACCCCCCTTCCGTCCGTGGACCCGGTTGAGGAGTCTTCTGACTCTGGTGGCCCTCCGGTGCAGTCCTCGCCGGCCGCCCCTCCCCAGGTGTCCCCTCCCCAGTCCCCTCCTCCGCCGCCCCTGCCGCCGCTGCAGCCGTCGCCGTCGCCGCTGCCGCCGCCGCCGCCGCCGTCGCCGCCCCCGTTCGCTGACTCTGGGGGTGCTCGTCCCGGTCGCCCTGCGGGTGGTCCCTCTGGGGGTGCGGGTGTGGAGAGTGCCGGTGGTAGCCGAGGAGCAGCTTGCGGTCCAGGTGTCGCCGTTGTGCCGCCGCAGCAGCAGTTCCCACCGGTGTCCGCCCTTCGCCTGCTCGGCCTTCCGTCCCCCGACCCTGCGTCGGTTCCTCCCCGCCCGTCTCCTCCTCTTCCTGTCTACGGCCCTGTTTTCCCTCCGCCGGACTCGTCCCCGGCCCGTCTCCCCCCTCGTTCCCCTCCTGTGTCCCCTCCCCTGTCTCCTGACCCGACTCCTCCGTCCCACGTCTGGTCTCACCGTCCCTCCCGTGCTCGTCCTGCCTCGCCTGTCTTGCGCTCCCACCCTATGTTGCTTCGTTCACACGCGTCTCGTCCTCCCCTTGTGCCGTCGCCTCCTCCGTCCTCCCTTGTTGTTGCGCCCCCCCCGCTGTCCGACTACCTTCGTGCCGCTCGTCCTCTCGTTCCTCGGGTCCTTGCCTCCCTCGTTACCGACCCGTCTGTTCCGGTCTCGTGCCTTGACGCTCTTGTCGCTGCTGTCGCTGACTTCGCCTCTACCCGCCGCCTTGACTACGCCACCGCTCTGGTCTCTGACCCTGCCTGTCCTCCGTCTGTCGGGGGTGCTCCTGCCCTTGGCAGTGACGTCCTGGAGGACCGCCAGTTCGAGCTTGCTTTCCTCTCCGAGGCTGCTCCCCATCTCTGTTCCATGCTACTAGTCCCTGAGGGTGACCCAGACGCTTTCGACATCCCGACCCCTCGCACTTACGCTGAAGCGACTTCGGGACCCTGGGCCTCGCAGTGGATAGCTGCCATGGAGCAGGAGATGGCATCTTGGAGATCCACCGGCACCTTCGTCGACGCAGTTCCCCCGCCTGGGGTGAACGTAGTCGATGGCCGCTGGCTCTTCAAGGTGAAGCGCCCTCCTGGAGAGCCGCCTGTCTTCAAGGCGCGCTATGTGGCTAGAGGCTTCAGTCAGCGCGAGGGGGTGGACTTCTTCCAGACTTTCGCTCCGACCCCGAAGATGACTACTCTTCGGGTTCTGCTACACCTAGCTGCTCAGCGTGACTACGAGCTTCACTCACTTGACTTCTCCACTGCCTTCCTTCAGGGCAGTCTACACGAGCAGGTCTACCTGCGCCGTCCTCCGGGCTTTACTGGCACCTTCCCTCCTGGGACCCAGTGGCTCCTGCGGCGCCCCGTCTACGGCCTGCGCCAGGCTCCCCGTGAGTGGCACGACACTCTGCGTGCTACGCTTGCTGACCTGCAGTTCTTTCCGTCTTCTGCAGACCCTTCACTCTTCGTTCGTGCTGGCCAGACTCCGTTCTACATCCTCGTTTACGTCGACGACCTGGTCTTTGCTACAGCAGACAGGGACGCGCTGGCCTCCGTGAAGGCAGAGCTGCTGAAGAGACACACCTGCACTGACCTTGGAGAACTGCGCCGTTACCTTGGCTTGCAGATCTCCAGGGACAGAGCTGCGCGCACCATCACCCTGACTCAGTCACACTTGGTGCGCCAGGTCCTTCAGAGGTTCAGCCTTCAGTTCTCCTCTGCACAGCCCACCCCTCTGCCTGTAGACCACAGGCTCTCCGCTCCAGTGCCTGAGGAGTTGGTAGAGCCCAGCGGCCCCTACGCAGAGCTGGTGGGTTGCCTCATGTACCTGATGACTTGCACTCGCCCAGATCTCGCATACCCTCTCAGCATCCTGGCTCGCTTTGTGGCCACAGGCAGACACCGAGCGCAGCACTGGTCTGCCGCTAAGAGGGTTCTGCGTTATCTTGCTAGTACATCGGGCATGGGGTTAGTGCTAGGAGGACGCAGGCCAGCGATCCTTACTGGGCACACAGACGCTTCGTGGGCAGACGACGCTGAGACTCTCCGGTCTACCCAGGGCTACTGCTTCAGCCTTGGCTCAGGTGCCGTCTCGTGGAGAGCTACTCGCTCCTCGTCTGTTGCACAGTCCAGCTGTGAGGCTGAGATCTACGCCGGTGCCATGGCGGCACAGGAGCTCCGCTGGCTGACCTTCTTGCTCACTGACTTAGGTGAGCGGCCTAGCTCTGCCCCGGTCCTGTTCGCTGACAACAGGGCCATGATCCTCCTGTGTCAGGAGCCTCGACTCGAGGGCAGAGCGAAGCACATTCAGTTGCGGTACTTCCTCCTGCGTGAGCTACAGCAGCGACGTCAGGCTCGCGTAGTACACTTGACCTCAGGTGCCAACACGGCTGATATCTTTACGAAGGCACTTGCGCCTAAAGATCATCAGCGGCACTGTGTACAGCTTGGTCTAGTTCCTGTAGCCTCTCACTTGCTAGGACCTTGACTTTGTACTGTCCTTTATATGTATACTCAGACTGGACTTGTTTGTGTCCTCTCCCAGTGGCTGGACTAGTAGTACCGCCCTGCTCTTGTGCTTGCCTTGTCTGTACTCCTTCTGACTGGTCGCTCAGACCCTTGTCTCAGAGGTTGGACTAGTAGTGCCGCCCTGAGCTGTTTGTTTAGGACTTTCCCCTATGCAGTCTAGGGGGTGTGTCAAACATGTCTATGTGTTATGTTTGTATAGACTGTATAGGGTAGCCTCTTAGAGGGTACAACACTTAGCTATATTGTGTGCACTCTCTCTGTATCACTAACACTTCAATTTCTGATACATGGTGCACAGAGGTGCCAACACAAAGGTTACAGCGACAAGACAAGAGGGTGAGCCGAGAGACGGAGAGAATGTTACCACCACTGCCTTCACACACTCACACATGCAACCTGCCAGACGCACACATAATGTGCATGTCTGCATGGTTCTGTTTCATATTCTTCCTCTCACACAGCTTCCACTTCCACTCTCATCCCCACCTCTTCCCCTTTCCGCATGTCTACGCCCTTGGCCACACCATGGCTACCCCATCCTTTCTCAGACCCTCCGTCCCTCCGTCTCTCCGTCCCTCGGTCCCTCGGTCCCTCCACGCCCAGCTTTGCTTTTCTGACTGGAGCTTAAAGCACTAGCCCTGGGGGTCACCCACGCCACTCTCCGCCCCCTCACAAGCAGAGTAGGCCCCTGCCCTGCTGACGTGGCAGCAGGAGTAACAGCCGCAACAGCAGGAGCGGGGCCAGGAGTGTTAGCCTGAGCATCAGCAGCAGTCTTACCAGCAGTAGTAGCAGCAGCAGCAGAGAGTGCGCCTGCCTGGTTCTCAGAGCTCCTCCTGCTGCTGCTGCTGTGGCTGCTGCTGCTGCTGGTGCCATCACTCTCCCCGCTCTCACTGCCCCTCTCCTGGATCATGCTGCTGCGCTTGGGCTTCCGCCTCGACCCCGCCCTGCTGAACTGCGCCGCACGGCTGCTGCTAGAGGGGGATGGAAGGGAGAGGGAGGGAGCAGCAGCGGGGGCAGGAGGCGCAGAGAAAGCAGTGGGAGCAGTGGGAACGGCACATGTTGCAATGTCTGCTGCTGCAGACGATGCTGACGGATTTGGTGGAGTCGGGAGTGCGTTTGAAACAAGGAAACCGGTGGGGCAACTTCTTCTGCTGGTTCTGTCGTCTTCCCTTCCTGTCCCTTCGCCCTCCCCTCCTCCTCCAGTGGCTGCTGCGTTACTTGCAGTGAGTTGCACCAGCACCTCATGGGCGTGGCGCGCTCTGCGGTCAGCAAAATCACCACTGCCCTTCACAGGGCCAATGCTGTCACCCACACTGCCGCTCACACCACCATGGTCAGCAGCAGCAGTAGCAGCAGTAACAGCAGTAACAGAGTTACTGCCTGTACCTGCAGACGCTGCTCCGTGATACCCCCCCAGCTCCACACCCACTAGCCCGTCTAATCTACCACTCCTGGTCTGCGCACCCAACCCCTCAGCGCCCACTGCAGCCCTGCCTCCCCCCCCCTGCACCTCCCTCCCATCTTCATTCCTCCGACCCTCTTCCTTCCTCTCCTCTCCCGTCCCTCCACTCCCTCCCTCCACCTCTGCCGCCTCCTCCTCGGGCTCCTCCTCCACCTTCCCCAGTTGATGTCCCCAGCTGCTGCCCCCACTCCTGTGACTGCTGCTGCTGCTGCTGCTGCCACTCCTCCTGCTCTTCCCCACCATCCTCCCATCCCCTCCCCCTCCCCCAACCCCCCCTCCTCCTGCTCCTTCCGCTGCCCTGTCACAGTCCAACCGGCTTCCCTGCAGGGCAGCGACACCACCAGCACCCCCCTCTCCACCCCCGCCCGCCTCCCCCCCCTCTTTCCCTTGCTGCCCATCCACATGAGCAGCGACATCCTCAGCAAGCCTTGCAGTGTTCCCGGTGCCACCACTGCCATCCCCATCACCACCACCACCAGCACCAGCACCAGCACCAGCAACAGCACCATTACCAGCAGCAGCAGCAGCGGATGCGCCAGGAAACTCGCCCCCCTCATCCTTACCCCCTCCCAGCTCTTCTTTCCACTGTTCGTCCATTTGAATCACCCCAGTGTTGAAAGCAATGTAGGCCGGCCGGGAGAGGCGCGGATCCGTTGACCTCAGGAACCGAAGCAGCTCCCGGCGCGAGCACGTCACTGTTACAACGCCCTTCCTACCCTTTTCCTTTCCCCTCCCACTGCCTTCACCAGAACCCGCCGCATCGCCGCCAGCCAAGCCAATCCCAGTGCGACTTTTACCGTGCCCTGGCTCCTCCCCACTTGCCCATTCTCCCTCCCCCGTCCCTCGTGCTTCACCCTCCTCCTCCTCCTCCTCCTCCTCCTCATCGTCCTCCTTGCTCTCCTCCCCCCTCTCCCCCTCCTCCCCATACTCCTCCTCCCCTTCATCATCTGACCCATTGCAGGCGAACACACTCTCCGTCGCCTCTGGCTTCCTCATGGCCCTCACCATCAGCCTGGCCCTGGGGTCTCGCAGCGGTATCACATCAACCTGCAACGCACGCTCACCAGCCCCACCAGCACCACTGCCACCGCCACTACCCGCACCATCTCCACCACCAGCACCGGCACCGGCACCGGCACCGGCACCGGCACCGGCCGCACCAGGAGGGGTTGTACCACCCCCCACGCTGCTGCTGCTGCTGGCGCCGGTGGCAGCAGCAGCAGCGCCAGCAGCGCTGGTGGCCTGTGAGGCGTTGTCCCACGCGCCTGCTGACGACGCGGAAAGGGAGTCGTGCCCCGTGCCCGTGGACGACACGTCCGAGTCCCCGCGGTACAGACTCGAGGGCGCGGGGGAGAAGGACGCGCGGGGAGGCGTGGCGGGGAGAGAGGGAGTGGAGGCACCGGAAATGGAGGAGTGAGGCGGAGTGGAGGGAAGGGGAGGGGGGGTGTGGGGGGGAGTGGGAGGGCACAGGTCGTTCGAGCCACAGCTGGTGGCAGTCCCAGTAGCACCGCTCTCCTGCTCCTGCCCATCCCCATTCCCACTCCCACTCACCTGCCCACTCCCCACCTCATGCCCTTCCCCCTTCCCTTCCCTTCTCCCTTCCCCCCCTCCCCCCCCCCCGCCCCCCTCTCCTCCCCCTTCAGAAACGCCGGGGTGCGTGGGGGGACCCTCGCCACCAGCCCCTGCCACGCCGCATGCGCCTCCGCAACGAGCTTCCCAGCCAAAAACCTATCCCCCGCGCGCTCATTAAGCCCGAACACCCACTCTCTGTCGCCCGCCTGCACGCACTCGCTCTGCCGCAGCCACTCCCGGACTTCTTCCAGCGTGCCCGGCATCACGCGGTGCACGTCCCCCACGTCGGTGACTCGCCTTGCGCGCCGGTCGCTGACGGCTATGCCCAGGAGCTTCCAGGAGAGGCGCATGGTGGGCAGATCCACCAGCGCGAACGCAGATACCACCTTCACCGCGTACACCTGCCGGGAGGGAAGGAGGACGGGTGCTGGAGGGACTTTTGAGCCGAGAGAGACGGGCGAAGGGGGCGGGGGTGGCATTGGGGGGGGTTGAGGGGGGGAGAGGAGGGGGGGATGTAAAACTGGGCGAGAGAAACGTGAGGAGCATGAAGGGACGGGATGGCGATGTGGAAGTGGGGATTGGGAGAGGAGGGGGACTCAGAAGCCAACACCAACCCATGAAGGTGGAAGGGGCCCGGGGGGGGGAGAAGGGGGGCGGGGGGGAGGTGGGGGAGGGGCTGCGGGCACCTGTCCTCTCTTGCGCGCCTTGCGGCCCAGCTCCACCATTTCGAGCGGGCGCCCGTCGTAGCGCAGCCCCAGGTAGTCCAGGTTCGGCAGCTGGGGGTCCGCCCACGTTTGTGGCAGCAACACCACGTTCCACGGGCAGTTCGACGTGTAGTGCACCGGAACCACGCCGGAAGGAACCCGCATTACCTCCCCCGCGCCCTCCGCGCCTCCGCCGCTCCCTCCGCCGATTCCTGCGCCGCTGCCTTCCCCCCACGCGCCTTCCGCTCCCCCGCCGCCCGCTCCTCCTCCCCCCAGCTGTTTGCGCGCCAGGCGCAGCGGGGAGAACTCCTCGTCCGCAGCCACTTCGAAGCGCGCCCAGGACTTCTTAGGCGTCGTGCACACCACGTGCATGTGTCCGTTGCGGGTATTAAGAGGTATGTGATGCCAGGGGGAGCACGTGCGCCCGAGGCGGTCCTTAAAGCGCATGCGGTAGCCTAAGCTGCCCGCCACGCCGCTATCCACCGTCTGCCACGTGAACGCGTCCGCAGCGGCGCCGCCAGCGCCACCCGCGGGGAAGGTTCCGCCAGCGCGCGGACCGAAAGCTCCGCCTGTTGAAGCGCCGCATCTTCCGCCGCCGTCCCCGCCGCTGGCGCTGCAGGCGCCGGTGCGGTCTCGCAGATCTACCGGACCGGCGGTGGTGGTAAGCGGCGCGGCCGACGCGAACTTAGGGTCGTCCGCGGATCCGGCGCGAACGGCTCCGGAAGGGAGGAGCCTGTGCAGCGCACCGAGCGCTGGAGACGCGGCGGCAGAGGCAGCGGCAGAGGCAGAAGGAGAAGTGAAATCAGAGGCAGTGGTACGAGATTGATGGTGCTCGCTGTTGTCGCGAGAATATTGCGATCGAGAAAGGGATGAAGTGGCGGTGACAGGAGGAGGTTGATGTGGGTCGACATGCTTCGCGAGCAGCTCCCTGTTGGCGGGCATGACGGAAGCAGTCAACTGCAGTGACGGAAGCAGTCAACCGCAGTGACGGAAGCAGTCAACCGCAGTGACGGAAGCAGTCAACCGCAGTGACGGAAGCAGTCAACCGCAGTGACGGAAGCAGTCAACCGCAGTGACGGAACAGAACAACTGGATCTGACGGGTCCTCGTCTACTAATGCTTCCGCTCCTGCTACTGCTGTTGCTGTTGCTGTTGCTGTTGCTGTTGCTGGCCTAATCTCCAGTTATCACGCCACACCGCCGCACGCGGCCATGTATGTTCATGAAACCCGAGCAGCTGAGTAAGGCGCTTCGACACCCTAGAGGTTACCTACCTGCCAAGAATGGTGTTAGACCTGCCGTCCTAGGCCAACTTATATGGAATGATGGAGAGTCAGCGGCTGGGACGAGGCCATTGGAGAGAACGTGGTGCTGCTGTGTGGTTCGAGAAAATACACATCCTTCGCTTGGGCTGGTTTGGGTCATCCAGGCAGATTTGAATAGTGCAGCCTGGGGATGGCCGGTTGGGGAACAAGTGCACAGCACGTGCGCACCACAGTTGTAAAGAAAATCCCTTTTCCTTAGCAAACACTGCTAGAACGGAGTACACCTAACCCGCGGTAATTTTACACCCTGAAACTGGGCGGCAGCAGAATTTTCGTTTCCACCCTGACCATTTCTGAGTGCGTTTCCCTTGTTCCCTGGACCTAAGCACGGCAGACTCAAAGCGGGCAAATACTTTGAGCACTGCCTCAGTTGACGTCGGGTTTCCTGACTCGAGAAACACTAATTCGAGCAGTAAACGTTTCGTACAGAAACGCAAACTAAATTCGTTTTTCAAGGGTAACTGGATCTGGTCTTCAGGAGCTGCTTTCGGGGGGTGAATACCCTCTCGGCGGCACCCCCTATGAAAATACTGGGGGTGAAATTACCGCGGCTAGGTGTACAGCCCTTACTTTCGGAAGTCCAGGCTCGGCCTACAACCTAGGTCTTGAACTATGTTCGAGACCCCAAGCCTACACGTGGAGTCGCGTCCGACACTTTCGAGCCCCGAGGCATCCAAACCACCTCGCACGTGTTTAGTGGCCCTCCTCGAGGCTCCCTTACCAGGCTAGCTGTGCTTGTATTCAGCCCTGTACTTCACTACCTCTCTCTTGCACTACTCGACTCCTATCCGGAAATTATCATAACAGCTGGTATCAGAGGTACATTCCTACCCATTTAGGCTTCCGTGGTGAGATAGTTTTTAGAGGGACCTCGCACGTTAGGAGACAGGAGCTGTTCAGCAGTCGTGCAGTGACTTCTCTAGTCTCTCCATACAGTATTTGTCGTATGCGCTCCATGTCTTTAACCTTGCAGGTGCCCATCGTGTTGTCAGTAACGCTAGCAAGCTAGGTAAATTCATCGTTAACAACCCTCATCGTGATAGTATTAAAAATAAGGCTCATGAGCAGATTGCTGAGCTGTCAGAGGCGGCAGCGAGTATGTCGGTACTGACGACGAAGTTTGGTAAAATGATGGCGATGATGGAGGCCATGTCCCTGGAGCTCGCCATGTTGAAATAGGAGAACGTGAGCCTTCGCCGGGCGCGTGGTGAGACACATTAGGAGTCACCTTTTATAGCGGACGAAGACTGTCTGAGCGCACATCAACTGCAGGCGACGTCAGCAATATATGACGACAGCACAAGCGAGCGACAGGCAGTTGTGAAAATCAAACACGCGATACTTCCGCCCTTCAATCCACTCGAGAAGTACATAACGTTGAGTGGGTGGCTGTTCGTCATGGAGCTGATCTTCAATGCTGCTGATGTCAACGACGATGAGGCACGCGTCAAGTTGGCAGTGTCTTTATTACGAGGTCCTGCATTAAGTTGGTGGCGATAGTACATGACGTTGCGAGGGATTCCGACAGACCGGGAGCAGACGATGAACGGGGAGCAACAATTGGCTTCAGCTTCAACATGATCCTTGTTTGGTGTGGTCGAGAGCCTTACCTGGCAATAGTGGGGTACACTGCGTCGCAAGCGTTTCAAGCATGTATTTGCATACGATAATGCTCGTGTAAATTTGCACGGATGGCGTCGATCGGGCTCTGTCCTAGAATACACGCCATCTTTCTACGACGAAACCGACGATCTACACAAGACTGAGAAGATGAGCCGTTACATCCTACGGCTAAAAACGAAGGTCCAACGAGAAATTTGTTGCACCGCCCGACGACATTCTTGGAAGTGCAGCAAGTCGAAAAAACATGAGACGAGAACAATGTATGGCCGAGGGTGAATTTCCCGGAGGGAAGTCATTTTCGAGGGCAGAACAGTTACCCCTCCATCAACGGCGATGTGGCACCACCAGATGTGGTGTTTTCATTGTAACCAGTCGGGACACATCATGTGGGGCTGTCCGGGGTTGCAGAAATCGGGAGCCAACGACGGGAGGAAGTCGGGAAATGGATCAACTCTGTAGCGGTATGGCCCCCTACTGACAACCCTTCGTCGCCCAAAGATCACCACTCTCACCGAGTAGTCGTGCCGATCTATGCGATCGGCCACACCCGGTTAAAGGGGGTTGAACCTGTTGACTGCCCTGTGTTGGTGGAAGGGCACGTTGATAATACAAGACAAAAAATATTCGTGGATGGTGAAGTACCGCACAGTCTGTTCGATGTGACGAGAGCGAAGAAACTGAATCTGCAAATAGAGTGATGCATGCCTGAGATTGATGCGGTTGGTCGACGGCACGCCACTTGCAATCCGGGAGTGGGTGAAACACGTTCGCATTGATTGCGAGAGCCAAGTCAGCTTCGTCATGCAGATACTGGCGACTACGTTGGACGACTGCGATGTGCTCTTTGGGCGTGACTGGCTTTACAGGTATAATGTAATCCGAGCATTGATTGGAGGAATTGGGCCCTTCGTTTGAAGTGGGATGGTGAGTGGCGACGATTGCCGAAGTGGAAACCACCCGACCCATAGTCAACACTTGTTAATCAAGTGATGATCAAGCGTATGATGGCGCGCGGCGTGGACGTCTACACCGTCCGATGGATTGCATCTATGATTGTGGCTGAAGAGACTGACCTCGAGAAGCTATGCACGGTTTGAAAGAGAGATGGTGTTGTTTGGGGGGGCAGCGGGCTATGTTTGAAATAGAGTCGGAATCAGTTTGTGCATCGAAACTATCAAATTTGGGGCGGAACTACTGTTCACTTGCTCATGTGACGACGATCTTGCCTGTCGTACAACTGGTGAGGTGTCGCATTGATTCTGACTCCCTCATGACACCCGACAAGCAAACAAGGTCCCAACTTGAAAAACGAGTTGGGTTCCATGTAAAGAAATCGCACACGCGATTTCTTCTGACACACGAGTTGCTCAAAGCGAGGATCCCAAGAAGCGATTTTTCAGAACCCAAGGTTTTGTATTACTAGTGTAGCGAAGTGAGCGAGAGCCAAGTGACAGAAAAATGGCCCATCTACCCTAGGCGAAGGGACAACACTGCCAGCGAGATGAGATGGAGCTCGCTAGGCTTGAGCGATGTCGCTCGCAGGTACAAGCGACGAAGTGGAAATGCGACAGGTAATGAAGGAGGTGTTCAAAAGATACGTAGATTTGTATCTGGGCATATTACACGACAACAGATGTGACATGTGAAGCATATTTTACCAAAACAATACCCTGTCAAAAACGAGACCATGTACTACAACACCCTCGGGATTGGCTCCTCACTTTCCCTGGCAAATAGGATCAAGAGTCACGAAGCCCCACCTACAGCCGCTCGCTACCTGGCAAACAATGCACCAAACTACCAGTACACCAGCATAACTAATAAAGAAATCAGCCCAAAACAAATCAAAACAATCTCACAATTTTAGGCCGTTTTAACTACTTGATACATTCATTAGTTACGAACCACAAACACTTTCAGGGCAAAATACTCGACGACAATCCAAAAAACAGCAACTTTGTAGTGTACCGACTAATGATATTATCGTAGTGTACAGGGGCACAGAGCACCAAAGAATGCCCTTGAAGCAGCACCCAGCAGCCGTATCCGCTATAACCATGCGGCCGAAGTATCCGATTGGAGCAGGGGCTAACGGGGAGTAAGAATGGGAGCAAGGGGGTTTGAGAATGGGAGCAGGGGGTGAAATTGAGAGTGCATGGGAGCAGAGGGGGAGGGGAAACGGAGGTGAAAAGCGAAGGGGTGAAATTAGAAGCACGAGGCACATGGGAGTAGGGAGAGGGCACAACATGGGAGTATTCGTAGGAGTGGGGGGGGTAAGAATGAGGGCAGGGAGGGGAACAAAGGATTCGTGTGAGGGGAGCGGAGGTGAGGGGAAAGGAGCAGAGGGGAGCGGAGGTGAGGGGAAAGGAGCAGAGGGGAGAGGAGGTGAGGGGAAAGGAGCAGAGGGGAGATGAGGTGAGGGGAAAGGAGCAGATGGGAGATGAGATGAGGGGAAAGGAGCAGAGGGGAGAGGAGGTGAGGGGAAAGGAGCAGAGGGGAGATGAGGTGAGGGGAAAGGAGCAGAGGGGAGATGAGGTGAGGGGAAAGGAGCAGAGGGGAGAGGAGGTGAGGGGAAAGGAGCAGAGGGGAGATGAGGTGAGGGGAAAGGAGCAGATGGGAGATGAGGTGAGGGGAAAGGAGCAGAAGGGAGAGGAGGTAAGGGAAAAGAAGGTGAGGGGAGAGGAGGTAAGGGGAGAGGAGGTGAGGGGAGAGGAGGTGAGGGGAGAGGAGGTGAGGGGGGAGGAGGTGAGGGGAGAGGAGGTGAGGGGATAGGATGTGAGGGGAGAGGAGGTGAGGGGAGAGGAGGGTTTAGCTGCCGTCATCCAGCTCCTCTCCCCCTCTCTCCCTAACTTCTCCGCCTCACAACGCGCCTATTCCCTGCCCCCTTCCTTCTACGCCGCATCCACACGCTCCTATCCGCTTATCCCCGCATCTACGCCGCATCCGCACGCTGCTGTCCGCCCATCCCCCCTGTAAACCGTGGCCCCACGTGGCTATCCACCCCCCCCCCCCCCCCCCCCCCCCCCTCTACACCGCATCGTGACACTGGTGTCCGCCCATCTTCCCCTCTACGCTGCTATCCGCCCTTCCCCCCCCTCTACTCCTCCCCCCACGCTCCTATCCGCCCTTTCCCCCCTCTACGCCTCCTCCCACGCTCCTAGCCGCCGTTCCCCCCCTCTACGCCCCTCCCATGCGATTATCTGCCGTTGCCCCCCTCTATGCCTCTCCGCGAGTCTCTGCCAATCCCCCCGCACATGCCACATCCACACTTCTATCCGAGGGGCTTTGGAGGGAGAGCATGGCGTGGGGGTGGGGTGGGGGGGCGAGAAAACATGGCGAGGGGTTGTGGGAGACAGAGCGGGGCGACGGAATGGCGGGGAGCAAGGCGGCTAGGCTAGTAGCGGAAACGCAGAGGCGCGTGTGCCGCATTTCGCTCGTGTTTGTG